ATAGAGTTGCATCTTATCGGTTATATCACATAAGAAGGTTGCATCTGATTGGTTAATTCTTGGTACCAGAAATTCTTATATACACTACTATAGGCACCTGATACACGTTACTATTGTACACTATTCTTGTGTGACATGCATTAATTTTCATGGCAATCAATCAAAACTGTACCTATTTCTTTTGTCAGATTGGCAAAAATAATTTATTTTTTGGTGTGCTGCAGAATTATAGTGCTAGTTTCTGCGTGCCATGAGATAAAAAAAGTTGGAAATGGCTGGTGTAGACAAATGAGGTTCGGAATTCCTAAGAATCTCTGGTGGCTGACCAGCACAGAAAGGGTTGGTTAAATGAGGCCAGCATCCTGCTCTGATGCTGGAAACTGTTACATGTGGGTCGCTGTATGTTAGAAAGATGTTCCATTTGAGCTGAAATCTGGCTCTCTGTCACCTCTACCCCACTGTTTCTCATTTGTTCAAAACAAACAAGCAAGCAAAAAAATTTATTTAACGATCGTTTACTTAACACTGATTTATGGGCTCCAGGAGCCCAACACTGTGAGGCTGGAGTGAACGAGTGAAGAAATGCAGGGGCAGTGGACACCGAGAAGGGGTGTACGCATCTGGAACGGTCATGGGCTTGCATGTGGAAGGTGGGCTGAGGAGGAGCAAGACCACAGAAATGTCTAGAGCAGGCGTCCTCAAACTTTTTAAACAGGGGGCCAGTTCACTGTCCCTCAGACCGTTGGAGGGCCGGACTATAGTTTAAAAAAAAACTATGAACAAATTCCTATGCACACTGCACATATCTTATTTTGAAGTAAAAAAACAAAACGGGAACAAATACAATATTTGTATTTGCATGTGGCCCGCGGGCTGTAGAGAGAGCAGTGCCCTCAGAAAACAGACACTTCTTCTGTGCAAATCCCTGAAATCCCGGCAGGGAGTGATGGGCCCTTCACTTCTAATTTGCAGGTTACACACCATGGATGCCTCGGAATGACTATGAGCGGAGAGCAGCATGGCACAGTGCGTCAGGCTGCGGGCTCCGGGACCAGGCAGCTAAGTCAAAATCTCATCTGTCACTTAGTATTAGTGGGATGTCAGTGAGGCACTTAACTTCTCTGTTTACGTTTTCTCATCTGTGAAATGGTTATAATAGCAAGTTTGCTGTGGGGATCCAGTGAGCTGAGGACAAGCAAATGCTAATGGTGTTCCTGGCTAACACAGTGGAGTCTGCCTTGACTTCTCTCACTCCCCACAGCCAATCTGCAACAAGTCCTATTGGCTCTCCCTACCTTCAAAATAGGTTCAGAATCTGACCACTTCCACCACTGCCACCACTGCCTCTCACCTGGGTTACTGCAATAACCTCCTAAGTGGCTCATAACACAGCAGTCATAGTCCTGCTATGAAAACATAAGTCAGATCATGACACCTCTCCCTCAAACTCCTTCATGGTCCTTGATCTGACCATGGGTAAAAGCCACAAGGCTCTACGGCGAATGCTAATATTTATACTTACCCTGGTATTACTGATAATAATACTTATATTACTATGTCTAGTATATATTATATATAACTATATTATTGTATTGTAATATATTATATGTAATATTATAATAGTAATATGATTTATGTAATGTATAATGTACATGCAATATATAATTATATATGTAACACATAATCCTATATAATAAAGAGCTAATATGCAAATGGTCTTTGTGCCCTCACGCCGCGGCCAGGAGACCTGAGGCCGTGCCCCCCCCGCCTGGCGTGGCTTGACGGGGGTGGGGCCAGCTGGGTCAGGGTCTCGCGCAATTTTGAGGTGTGCGCAGTTGGGTGGGGACTTGACTCTGGGTCCCGTGGCGCGCCCCAGACTCTGACAGGAGGAAGATTTTTATATACATTTTACTAATTTTCCTTCATCTCTGACACTTCTATTATAGAGAAAGGGCAAATAGCAATATTAAAATATTTCCTCTAATTAATTCCCTTTTAATGTGCATGAATTTTGTGCACCGGGCCACTAGTATATTATAATAGTATTTTGCTATGAAAGTTAACAGATGAATCATTAAATTTTATTCAAGATGGTTGTCCAATTATACATACTAGTATATATATATATATATATATATACACACACATGTATATAAATATTGGAATATAAATAAATTTTTCACATACACACACATATATATGCATCTATATGCGTATGTGACTATACTTTAGGTTAAAATATAGTTTTAAGATTAGAAAAATAGGTTAAAATATAGTTTTAAAATTAGAAAAATATAAACCTAAGGGTAGCAACTTCTTTACAGAACTAACTGGATTGTAATAGAACAAATGATTCTCGACATATAATAAATATGTTCAAAAATTGATTATTGTGCCTGGCCGGTGTGGCTCAGTGGTTGAGCTTCAACCCATGAACCAAGAGGTCACCAGTTTGATTCTCAGTCAGGGCACATGCTCAGGTTGTGGGCTCGATCCCCAATAGGGAGTGCTTCTTTTTCATTGATGTCTCTATCACTCTATCCCCCTCCCTTCCTCTCTCTCTAAAAATCAATAAAAACGTATTTTAAAAAATTGATATTGCTGTAAACATTTTTGAGATGCATTAACCTAGTGCCCAGGAAATGGTAAATATAGAATATCTATCCTTGAGAATCTGAGTGGCATTCTTGTCATCTTCTTTTTCTGGAGCTGCTGTGAGGCTCATTCATATACACACATATATATCAAAATGCTTTTCAAGCCCTAAAGTACTACATAAATTTCAAGTATTATTCTTTTCTTTCAATAAATTAGACAGACTTACATTTTGGACAAGCTAGTCAAGCCCAATGCTGAGTTAATCCATTTTTGAAGTTTCAATGAAGCAAAAGCTATTTAAATATTATATTCAAAGTATCAGTATAATAAAACAACAAGAACAAGAACCCCCGTTAGCACGTCCCACTGTATGTGAAGTGAACAGGAACGTGATGGAGTACTGACATTCATTTCACTCCAAATTAAACACAGCATCACCACAAACCTCAAGAGATAATAAGAGGTTTTGTGTTTGGTTAATACTGGGAATTCTACAGGCACGGGTAGAATTATATTTGGTTGGCAAAAAGCCAATCAAACATCACACTTGTCATAGAAGTAGGTGGTCAAAAACCCCACTCTTGTCATTGAAGCTGTTGGCTACAGTTGCTTACACTATCTGGATCGCAACATCTTTTGTCATTCATTTTGAAGATAAAATATTAAGAAATGAGACAAAATGAGGGCTAATGAAAAAGATATTAAGTTAGAATTGACCTTGGGGAAAAAATAGACAGAGCACATCACATAAAAACAAAGAATAGAATTGGGTTTTTCAAGTGGCATCGTCAGACAGATACAGTCTTTGATTTTATCTCTTCAGGACAAATGGACTCAGCAACCAAGGTAAGAGGGAGATGCATTCACAGCCTTTTCTCTGTTCTTAAAATACATGCTGTAAATTTTCTAAAGGTCATAGTACATATTTCAAAAGAAGTCCACTTTTGCTGGAAGTGTGTGCTCTTTCATATGTCTGGCTTTGTGTAATCCTATATAATAAAGAGCTAATATGCTAATTAGATCGAATAGCAGAACGACTGTCCAGATGACCTTCCGGACAACCTTCCGGATGAAGCCAGGGCTGCGACGGACTGCGAGGGCCGGCCGAGGCAGCTGGGGCTGCAAGGGCCGAGCCCCTTGCACGAGTTTCGTGCATCGGGCCTCTAGTCTACATATATATATATATAGATATGCCTAAGTGACTGTCCGACCGTTATCCTGGTAGCTATGACGTGCAATGACCACCAGGGGGCAGACGCTCTGACCAGTAGAAGAGGGAGACCGATTCGTAGTGGGCTAGGTTGCTGCTGGGGCACTGTTGGCCCTAAATCTGCTTCACCTGCACCCTGGACCCAGAGATCGGTTTTGGCCTGATCCCTGCAGGCCAGGCCAAGGGACCCCACTGGTACACAAATCCGTGCACCAGGCCTCTAGTAGTATATAATGGCTCTCTAATAAATTTAACCACGAAAAAAATTTTTTAATGTGCCTGCATTCTGCTAATTTATAAAAAAACAGGATGCTGTCAGATAAAATTTCATGAAAATGATCTACAAACCAGACTGTCAAAAGTGAAAGGTACTCAGGCACTACTTAGGGGCAAGGCGTATAAGGAAACCACTGGACAGGTTTCCCATGACTGTAGGGAAACAATGTACTGGAACGGAGCTCACATTACCCTGATTTGCAAGTTACTGTGAGGTCACAGGAAATCCTGAAATGTTTTCCACATTTTCTTTTATACATTTTATGTCAAATTTCCTGCAATTGAAATCATAAACCCTCCTACTGCTGGAATCTCCTCTGGAGGAAAGGGGATCCTGTGACATTCCCCCATGAACACCTAATAACTCAACTCCTACCAGGGTAACAAGAAACTGAAAGACAGAATTGAAAATGGACTCTGATAAGGCTGAAATGTCAGATGCCCTAACTCTTTCGAATGAAAACCAAACTGTTATTAGGACAACTCTCAAAGTGCATTTAATCTAGTGACGGTGGACTTTTCTTTAGAATAAGAGATAACAGAAGAAATGATAGGCTGTCCCAAAGACATAAGCCCACCATTTCCCCAAATCTCTCATCCAAAATGTATTTGTGGATTTATGTTCTAATTTTAAAATGGAATTTTTCTATGTGGCTATTCTTAACGTGATTCACGCTCCTGACAGCCGTACTTTATTGTCCCCACTATGTTTATGAAAGGATCAGTCAGATTTAAGTAAAAGGTCCGCATTTAAAATATTCTCTCAGGATTTATTACAACTGTGGAATTTAAAAATAGCTTTTAAATGGTCAAATGCTGCATTTTAATATAAATCCAAGCCAAACGACTCAGGTTCCTTCATGAATAGAAATTTTTTTTAAGGTTTGTTGAATCATGAGTTATGAGGACACATTACCTCTCCTGACATGTCAGGGGCCATCGGGACAGCGGGCCACAGAGATGAGTAGATTCCGAAGAACACCACCCAGAGCGCGATGCTGCCCCAGATCGCTACGTGGCTGAACTGCGGAGGAAGGGGATCGGAGTCAAAAGACTGTTAGGTAGATGGAGTACACAAACACTAACAACGCCTTCACAAATTCCCTTATTAACTTTTTATTACACCGATAAAATATTATCTCTGGGCATTTCTAAATAATTATGTGTGTGTGTGTGTGTGTGTGTGTTTTAACTGGATCTTCTGTTAATTGCTACTCTTTTCTCACAACAATTATGATGTCTGTGGTCCTGGCATTTGGAACGGTTCTTTCTCTACCTCCTTTGTGGGTCTCTCCTCTTAGTCTTTTTTATTTTTTTATTTTTAGAGAGAAAGGAAGTAAGTGGGGAGAGAGAGAGAGAGAGAGAGAGAGAGAGAGAGAGAGAGAGAAACATGGACGGACTGCCTCTTGCAAGCCCCCTACCAGGGATTGAGTCCAAAACCTGGTCATGTGCCCTGACTGGGAATCGAACTGGCAACGTTTTGGTGCACGGGATAATGCCCAACCAACTGAGCCACACAGGCCAGGGCACTCTTATATTTTTAAAATCCCCTACCATTTTTAAGCTTTCTTGATTTTTCTCTCTGCATGCTCTCACTGAGAGATGTTAGACATTTGTGTGAATACTATTTTTTTTTTTGTCCATGACAATCAAATCCAAATTTCTTATGCCAATCTTTCCCCTGAGCACCAAACTTAATTTTTTTTTCTTTTTTACTAAATCTGTCTACCTGGATGTGACTATACTTCAAAACTAAGGTACCTAAAATGGAACTTGTTTTATCCATACTGGGTATTTACAAATGTCTGAGGACAAATCTTTTGCTAATATTATTAGTCTTCAGAATCATTTTGCACTAGGTTTTCTGCCAAACGCCAGTCTTGTGACACACTCTACTAAGAAACAATTCCTTGTCTGTCAGTTTAAAAGCCTCCCCTATTCCTGGGATATTCACAATATACAATTATACATTGAAGGCTCTGAGAAGTCTTGTGGTAAATAAACTTGTTTTACTCAATATTTCCAAACAAGAATCCCTGGTTCTCCCTCCTCCATTCCTGACCCCCCACAATTAATAACCTGTAGAAGGAACTAGGGCTAAAGGATACATAAAGTCAGAATGAAAATCTACAAAAAAAGTGGCAATAACACATAAGTAAACGTGACATTTCTAGTTTGAGATTAGAGATACTCTTACCCATGTCCAATATGATGTCTCCAATCCAGCTTTCAAACACACAGTTATCACCACAAACTAAAATGCAAGGGAAAATGTTATTTTTAAAATAAATATGATAGTTCATAGAATGATTGAAAGTGAGATATATAAAGAACAGGTATCTCTGAATTAGATGATGGAACTACATTATTCCCAGACCTTGTACATCTAACAAGAATCAAGTGAATTGGCTATTGGCTGGTGGCTGAACATTATGACCAGAACTGTCCATCAGCATTGCACCCCTGCCTCCCCCACAGCCTTGCAGTCCATCCATAAGGCCCCTGAGCATGTGTCTGCCTGCTTCTTGTTCACTTCATGAATAGTGATGGAGGCTATGTCTGCAGTTACTTGGGTTTTAAAGCCTGCTTTAATTTTACTTTATATCATTTTTAATGCATAGGGCCCCCTACTTTCTGAATTTTAAAGATCATTCTAAAAGTAATATAAATGGATATTTAGAAATCTAAACACTTACTTTGTAACCTAACTTACAGTAAAACTCTGCAGAGCAGGATATAAGAGCTTGTTATATGCTGTAAATACCACCCCTCATCGTCGGTGACTATGCTACTAATTCTGAAGTAAGGGAACGAGGTTTAATGAACCGCCCTGTGTTTTCCATGGGATCACACAATGGTTACATGGACTTGGCCTGGAGTCAGACCATGTGTGCTCAAGACTCCATCATTTATTAGCTGTTTCAGTTAAAAAACAAGGCAAGTTCCTTGACATCTCTGTGTCTCAATTCCTTCATCTGTGAACTGGGACTGATAAAACTTACCTACCTTATTGGGGTTTGAGTATAAAACACTAAAAACTGTGCTTAGCACTGTACTTGACCAATGATTGTATATTTATAATCAATACAATTTTATACATTGTCAGTAGTCAAGGGAAGTCTACAGTGGTGAAAGTGTGATGTTGGTGAAATGTCCCCAAAGAGTGGAGATTTCTCTCCCATCATAGTTATCATGAGACTCTAGAATAATCACTGCTTAAACACCCAAGAATAGTAAAAGCAAAAATATTAACAAGGACAGTAAAATAAAACTGAGGAAAAAGGGATAAGGAAGAGAACAAGGGCAAATGGGGGGAGGAATCAGAGTAAAGAGGGAACATTGAAAATAACAGCAACCAAAGTACTATAAAGTCAGTGAACCTAAATGACATTTTAATAACCTAACGTGGAACCATCTTTTACTAATCAAAACATCTCATTTCATTCTTAAAGGGAAGTGCAACGAACCCTTAAATCCAGAAATGCAGGCATTTAAATTTGAAAATAAAATGAGCACATATGGAAGGATTCCCTTTTACATGCAAACCAGGCAAATGTCCTGCACTCACCGTGTAAACAAAGTTGCCCAACAGCAGATAGTCGGAGGTTTTCCCATTTCCAAACACAGTACCTACATGAAAAGAAGAGAAGCTTGTTAGAAAAGAAAATAAACAAGGTCCTTTCAGAATCCATTCAAAGATAAATCAACTCAGAAGTGGCGAGCAAAAGAATGGTAACCAAGGGCCACACAATGGAGCTAGAAATAAGGCTAAAATGTGTGCTGACGGAGTCTCACAAAGTTGCTATGAATATGGGTCACAAATTGAAAACAAATTTCCATGAGCCAATATGAAGGAAACCTGACTTGCTAACCAATTCTCAGGGCCCATGAGATTTAAAAAAAAAAAATCAAACTAATTGTTCAAGCAAAGCTTAATGCTGTGAGCACTGAGACAGGAGGAGGCCTCTGAACCCTTAAGAGAGAACTTTGATAACAATATAGATGAGGGTTTAGGAAGCCTTCAAGGGTATTCTTAAAATTAAACCGGCTTTTTGGGTTACTATGAATGTTTTTATTGATTTTTAGAGAGAGAGGGAGAGAGGGATCAAACCTGCAGCCCGGGTACGTGACCTGACCAGGTATAGAACCGGTGACCTTTTGGTGCAGGGGAGGATACTCAACCAACTGAGCAACACTAGCCAGGGCTTGACAGCTTTTTCAATGCGGGTGCATGACAATGAGGAATGTAATGACTGGTAGTATAGTGACATCTCTATTGTGCCAAGGTACCAGCAGTTTTACCCATCACTGCTTTTGTATCAGCGGTGAAAAAGATAAATAATGTCTTGATAATATTACAAAATATTTGAAACTGACATTTTGACCTCCTGGACCTAATGGACCACTAAAAAGTCATAGGTATTCCCAGATGTCTGTAGACCACACTTTGAGAACTGCTGAAGTAAGGGAATAAGTAAGTTTATTTGAAAAAGTAAACTTTAACTGGAGAACTTGTCTAAGGTCAAGGAATCCTGAATTGTACGCTGGATTTCAATATCCCATGGCTCCAAAAAGTGGAAGTAATTCAAATATCCATCAACTGATAAATGGATAACAGAATGTGGTATAGACATACAATGGAATAGTTTTTGGTCAAAAAGAGGAATGAAATACTGAGTCATGCTGCAACAAGGATAAACCAAGGTTACATATGACATGATTCCACAGAGACAAAATCCACAGAGATGAAAATTTGTGGACACTGGGGGCTGTGGGGAAGGTGGAGAGGAATCGGAAGTGACTGCTAATGGGTATGGATCTCCTTTATGGAGTGATGGAATGTTCTGGCATTAGACAGTGGTGATATTTGCATTATTCTGTGACTATACTAAAAACCACTGAATTGCGTAATTTAAAAAGGTGAATTTTATGGTACGTGAATTATATCTAAAAAAAAAATTCCCAGCGTGCTTCCCTAGTCTAAATCTACTTTAATTAGATTTCTCACCACACTCATTTCCGTGGCCTAGAAAATGAGAAGTATTTACTGCTGCACTGGCAAAGAAATTCATAAAGACACGAGATCAAAATCTCTGACTAGAGCATGAAACCGCTGCCTTCTCATAACATTCACCCACCCCATTCATGCTGCAGGCCCTTGTTAACACGCTGACAATGCACTGAGTGCCTACAATGAGCCAGGCTCTGTTCTAAGTACTGCACATACAACAGTGAACTAAGCGAACAATTCCCTCATCTTCTGGAGCTTTGATTCCAGCAGAGGAGAAAGACAATAAAGAATAAGCAAAAATGTCACACCTCCATAGACAAGTACCATGAAGAAGAAACAAGACGACAATGGGATAGTGACAGGGGCAGTGGGGACAGGGGTGGCTTTCAGATGAAGGTGATCTGAGAGGGCCTCTCTGAGCATGAACCTGGGGAGTGAGGGAGAGAGCTGGCAGGAACGTCTGGGTGAAGAAAGGATATGCATGGAGGCATGGGTGAGGGGAAGTGGGGGAGGAAATCAGATGAAGGTCCGGGCTGTGGATTCTGCCCTGAGTGTGACAGAAGTCTGTGGGTTTTGAGAAAGGGTTATGCATGGAGGCATGGGGAGAAGGGAAGTGGGGGAGGAAATCAGATGAAGGTCGGGGCTGTGGATTCTGTCCTGAGTGTGACAGAAGTCTGTGGGTTTTGAGAAAGGGGCGCCAGGTCTGATGTACATATTGCAAGAACTGCTCTGGCTGCGGGGGGAGAACAGACTATGGGTGAGCAAGGACGCATGGCCAGCCCTCTTCCGTGGGCAGTCATTAACTCGCAGTCAGCGAGGCATGGCCTGTACCTCCAAGGGACTGACAGACCCCTGGGTGGAGTTTTAATGGCTAGTTTGGGGGCACAGGCACCGGATGGCCGGCTGTCTTCCTCGGGATCCCAAGGCAGCTCCAGCTTAGGCAACGCCGAGATCTCTTTCCTACAGTGGCCACTTCATCATTTTTATGCGTATAGGAAATTCACCATGATCCCATTTCTCAAAGCTGACAGAGTCACTTCACTTCCTCAACACAAGCAGAGAAAAAGCTTACACTCCACGCTGAACGTAAAAACAGATTAAAACTCTCATTCAAGACCGGCTCAAGTCTCCTTGGAAATACTAGCATGTCTGATTAGGCACAGCATAAAGAGCTTGATACAAGCCTCGTAGGTATAATAAACAGACTACATAAAATATTAGCACCATTGTCTTCAAACAATGCATCAACAGAGGACAAAAAGAGCCCTAAAATTTAATTCTCTGCAAGTTGGGAAAACATGAGAAGTAGAGAAGAAAGGCTTTGCATATATTAAATCACTTTCTCCCAAAGGAATAATAAAACTCTTAAAAGTGTATACGACTTTGGGATGCATGTATTTTAGGTTAAGGAAGACCATATAATGAAACTGCTATGAGTTTTAACATATACCGACAATGAGCTAGTTTTCTAAAAAAAAGTAAAAAGTCATTTATTAGCATTCGTATCCTTTCTACTTACCATACTGAAGGGCTTTTAGTGGAAACCAAAACAGAATAACGGAGTGGAAGAGGCCATTTAAACAATGAACCCAGAAAACCTGGGGGAAAACAAAAATCCATGAGAACCATTTGCGATAAACTAGCTCTGTGAACTCTGACCTCTCTTTTTATCTGTGGGCTAGATTCACAAAACGTGGGTCTGTCGGGCCACCACTGTGAATTAATAGAACTGACAGACACTTTCTGCCTCTTAGACCTTCATGGGTCATTTATTTATTGTTATGTTTCTCAAAATGTTTTTGCAGCTTCACTGAAAATTTTCGTACCTTTTAAAACCAAGCATTAAACGTTTAAATTTCTGCCTGAAAAAAAAAATTTAAAATAATGCAGAGCCTGAAATTCTTTTAAGGAGGACCATATTCATAATTGCAGAAGAAGAGAGTTTTGAAAAGATCGTAATTTGGTCAAATCCTTACTTTCTCTTTCCCATGTGCAATAAAAATGTAAACTTTTCAATGGTAGGGATATAATGCATTCATATTCTCTCTCGGTCTCTCTCCATATATAGGTATTTTATACATACACACACATATGATATACTAAAACTAGCAGGTATTACATTTAAATTGTGCAATTCCTTAGAGTAAAGCATTGTCAATATAACTGAATTTATAAAAAGCTTTTCACAATTTTTAATACCTGTCAACATCAAACTTTCTACAGTTACAATATCATTTAACAGTTTATTAGTTTGTACATCAATTGTACTTTAAGAAGAACAAGAGAGCCAGTATCACTGGTATGCTCTTTGTAACATGGCTAGGAAAGATTAAATTCTAGAAAAACTGTTTAGCATTCTTATGGCCCTTTGAACAATCGCAGTTTGTCATTTAAAAAGTGATTCTTGCACGCCAGACTTATGCTAAATAAATTGTCGTGTATTAATAGTTTTAAGCTGTTCAAACAACAGAAATTAAGTTGCCTGCCTCCCAAAATTTTCCACTGTGATTTCAATCTCCTTTGTTAGTTCACGCAGCCACACTGGATTGTATGATCCAATTTACGCTCCAATACATTACACATTTGAACTTGTGTTCCTCATTAACCTTTGTCTCCTCTCCTCACTATGTCATCACCACACGTTTTCATTTGACAGAAAGCACAGGTGGGTGCAAGAAAAATTAGTTCTACTTTTCCATTTTCCTGACCGCTACTTATTGTCACATGCTAATCCTTTAACCCCTGTCCTGACCTCAGAACCTCCGACCCTTTTTACCATAACAAACGTAATCATCGTCATTCAGGGCAACAATGCTGCTACACTGGGGGCCCACGGCAACCGCTGTGTACACAAGTATGCATTTTGTGGCCATTTGCCCCTGAATTTTAAAACACGTCTATGGGATTTAATCAAAGAATCTTCACTGAAATCATTAAAAAACCCGTCAACCCTCCCTATAAAAAATGGTGGGCAGTTCATGTGTGTACAAATTCTCAAATGGATACAGAAGTTCGGGGATGGCAAAAGTAGGTTTACAGTTGTTCATAGGGAAGAAGACAAATAATAAAATAATATTACAAGAATGAACTCTTTCATGTACTCACAGCTGGAGACCTACTTTTGCCTGCCCCTGTATAATCTATTTGGGTTGATCTGATGACTTTTTGAAATGCATGGGCTCTGCAGACAATGAAATACTTTGTAAACAACCAAAAAAAATTGTCAAGTTTGCAAGGAAGGATGCATTCACATTAAAACTATACTACCCAGGCCCTGACCGGTTTGGCTCAGTGGACAGAGCGTCGGCCTGTGGACTCAAGGGTCCCGGGTTCGATTCCGGTCAAGGGCATGTACCTTGGTTGCGTGCACATCCCCAGTAGGGGGTGTTCAGGAGGCGGCTGATCGATGTTTCTCTCTCATTGATGTTTCTAACTCTCTATCCCTCTCTCTTCCTCTCTGTAAAAAATCAATAAAATATATTAAAACAAAACAAAACAACAACAACAAAAACAATACTACCCAGTACACCTTATCCCAGGCCACAAAAACGCAATGGTGCAAAGGGCATTCGAGGATGTGGCTGTCCAGGAATGGCTTTGGGTGATCCTGTGGAATCTATGTTTATAAGCGACAGAACCATGGCCCATTGTGTGGCTGAGAAGTTCACTCTGGAGGGAGCACTGTGGTGCCTGAGCCACGGTCGTTTGGGGGCCTGTGGCTGAGGTTGATACAAGAGTCTAGGTCGCTGAGAATTACTGTTCGTATGTCAGTATGTCTGAACATGCCGAGCTCTCAGATAAATTTTTCAGGGAAACAAGAGCTCGCAGAGCACTGTGGCTGCCTATCTGAAAATACCCACCATAGGTAACGAACGTTACAGCAAGGTGGTGGAATTGAAGACAAACTGGATATCATAAATAAGTTTTTAAAAATCCAAAAATAAAACATTCAAAAATAAAGGCATAGACATTTCATATCACAAATTGGAATAGTTTCAAGAGACTACTAAAAATACTTTCCAGAACTAATGGTCTTAAGCCCAAGAACTCTTTCATTTTTTTAAAAAATTAACCATATTCAGTTACTTAAAATAATGCCATCAAGTTGTATGTACGTGCACACCTGGCCATGCATGCACAGTGCATCCATGAAGACCTCATCTCAGAAGATGAACAACATCCTGGCTATAAACTCAACACCAACGTTTATGGTGTGAGGTTAGAGACGCTGAAACACCTGTTTCATTTTATTTTCTTGGTATACTCAGAAGAAATGTCATTTGAGAGCTTAAAAAATATTTAAGATTTCCTACACTAACTGTCCTGAATTCAAAACACCCAATCTAGGTTACATCTCATTATTAGTAACATGCTAACAGACATGTACTCTATTAAATGAGAACAATTTTGTTTTATTAAAGTTTCAAAATGACATCCATCTTGACTGTTAGAAAATTAAAAAAAAAATTCTGCCTCACACTAAACCAAAACTAGAATTCCTAGAAAATACTTTAGAACATATACTTGCAGGGAAGGAAACTGCAGAAAATGAGCTATTTTTGTGGTTGGGTGAATAAATACCAGGGAGCACCAGAGATGACAATAGCCCATGCCATGCTATGCAGGATAAAAACCCAGAATATGATTTTAGATAAAATGCTGGCTATTTTATCTTGTATTTTAATTTTTATGGCTTGGAAATACTGAGTGTTATGACTGAGGTTTTTTTCCCCAGAGACTATAATTTGTAATGCTCGATACAAACAATATAATACTCTGCAGAGGACAAAGTTAGTTCATAAAACAGGTAACGAGTAGAGAATGCTCCACCGCCCCTCACCACTTCACACATGCAAAGAAATCCTGCTCAGTCTTGGGTGACCGACCTCCGTGAAGGGCAAGGCTGCAGAGACTGGCAGTCAGGGGGCCAAAGGGACCCTCATGTCTGTCTGTCTGCCAGACCCAGTTCCCTGCTGCCTGGCAAGTCCCAGTGAATCACGGTTACATTTTAATTTTATAACAACAGAAACAAAAACCTTGTCAGTCCATATCAGAACCTTAGGTAAGCCTGACTCGCCACGGTCAACATCCTGGAGTTGTTTCCCTGGTTCTGGGAGACCAGATGCCCCAAGTAATTAAAGCAGCAAAGCAACCCCCCCCTCCCCCCGAATGTGTGGCAGGACGTCATATCCTACCTTGGTGTTGAAGTCCAGGGCGTTCTGAGACGTTTTGTATAATTCAGGATACTTCAACATATTCTCTTTCCTGCATGATCTCTCAAATATGCCCAGCGTTAAGGGAGGCATTGCTGTAAACATCTGAAGTACACAAACGGGTCATTACACCAAGCAGCCAAAGGCAGGTGAACCTTTATCTCAAAGTATTCAACGAAACAGGAAAAACCAAATGTTTCAGACTTACCACATTATAAAGACCTATACACCATCTCTCAAAGAGGATCTGTCCAGAAAAGCCATTAACAAAGGCAAACCAGATCTAGAAAGAAAACAAAACCCCGCAAATTAGGACACACAAAAATAAGTGCATTGTGCAGAATCTGTTGTGTACTCAACCACTGCATAATAGCATAATATTTTCATGACTCTCTTGAAAATGGTGTTTCTTTGCTTTACTTTATAATTTGAAGGGATGTTTTCACAAGGGATCTGTTATTTAAGCCAAAGTTGGTTCCTCTTGTTGAAAAAAATAAAACTCCACAATTCTGTATCAACAGGCAATTGCAGATTTAAAAAAAATTAAATGTAATATTTTCTAAAAGGCACTTCAAGGAATATATTTTATGCTATTACACTTTTAGAACTTTATTTCCCTTTTAAAATATCTCCTGATAGTTATTTAAAGATTATTATTGTTTTTATTATAAAAGAGCACGTTTATTTAGAAGGTGAAAAAATTTCCTATAATAATACCATCACCATTTATTTTCTTCTGTGTTAATTGCATTCATATATTTCATTTATATACATTCATAAATTTACCTTGCAGGAAACCTACTGCATATAGATAGTATCATGTCCTGCTCCTCTCCCTCTTCTCCTCATGTAATATGCATTTTCTTAAGTTGTTACATATCCTTTAAAATGATGTTAATGGATATATAACCTCTAAGGGTGGCTATAACTATTATTTAGCATGCTTCCAGATTTATCTATCTGTATATATAAAAGCCTAAATGACTGAATGACCAGACGACCAGTAGCTATGATGCGCACTGACCACCAGGGGGCAGATGCTTAACGCAGGAGCTGCCCCTAGTGGTCAGTGCGCTCCCACAGAGGGAGCACCGCTCAGCTGACTGACCGGTGCCAGATGCCAGGCTCACGGCTGGCAAGTGCAGCTGTGGCAGCGTGAGCCTCTCCTGCCTCCACAACAGTGCTATCGAGCAGCAGATGCCGCAGGCACAGCAGGGAGGGATGGTGCGGTGCCTGGTCTGAGCTTGGGCTCCTCTCCGGCTGCCTGCCACATTGCGCACTACTACATCCCTCAGGGGATGTCAGACTGCCTGGCATATGAGGATCGGGCTGAAATGGGCAGTCCGACATCCCCCAAGGAGTCCCAGATTGTGAGAGAGTGCAGGCCAGACTGAAGAACCCCACCAGTGCATGAATCCATGCACCAGGCCTCTAGTCCTATCTAATAAAGAGGGAATATGCTAATTGACCCTCATGCTGTTGCAGAGATGGAGGCACCCACAGCCAATAAGGAGGGAATATGCTAATTGACTGCCACGCCCTCAAAGATGGCGGTGCCCACAGTCACAAGATGGCGGCACCTGCCTCTGGAGTCCCCCAGTCCCTTCAGCCCCCCAGGGCTGGCCTGAGGAGCAGGCAAGCCTCGGATGTTGGCTGCTCAACCGCCCAGGACCAGCCCGAGGTGCAGGCAAGTCTCGGATGGTGGCTGCCTGAGGCTCAGGTAACCAGGGCCGACCGAGGCTTGCGCTGCTAGCAGTGGCAGCAGCAGAGGTGTGATGGGGCATCGCCTTCCTGACCCTGAGGGCTCCCGGACTGTTTAGGGGGCAAACCGGGCTGAGGGACTCCCCCTCCAGTGCATGAATTTTCATGCACTGGGCCTTTAGTTATATATAATTCTGAACTGAATGTTCTTACACAGAAGTCCCACATGTTTCTATTTCTTTAGAATAAACTCTTTTTTTTTTTTTTGGTAAAAGACAGCTTTATTGAAATATAATTGCTATACAAAAAACTGCATACATCTAATGCATCCAATTTGGTGAGTTTGAATATATGTACACCCATGAAACCATCACCACAATCAAGACAATAGACTAACACACCTCCAAAAATTTCCTGTACCTCTTTGCTTTTCTTTCTTTTTTTCCAGGATGAATTTTTATAAGTGGAATTAGTAGGTCAAACTATATACACTTTTAAAATAGTTTTTGATAATTACAGCCATCAGAATATGAAATCCGAATTTATATATTAAAATATTTTATAACTTAAATTTATGCTTTGATAAAATAAATCTTTAATTAACAGAGCTAATGTCCTTCCGTATTTTGCAATTCTCTTAAAAATAGAAACCTTAATTGTTGGCTATAAAATTAAGGGGCAATAGAGGAAAATTTTATCCAACATGTGTAAGACAAATAACTTAGAGTGATATTAGTAAATCAATAATTCCTATGTTATTTAAAACGTAATTAGAATCATGTTGATCTGGAAGAGTGAAATGTCTGGCCCAGCAATGAGATGACATAAACACAAACACAAAAGCAAAACACAACAACAAAAAACCTGTTTAGAGAAAAGCAGGCTTGACATGCCCGGCAAACGAATTTTTGAATCGGAGGTGCTGGGACTGTGCTCCACTTCACGTTTCATTTAACATCATTATGGAAGCATGAACTGCTACAAATTCACCATTTATCAATATGTACCCAGGCCGACCCCCACAATGAACACTTTCTGTACCCACACTGATCATCTTCCTGTTTATAGTGGGAAGGAGTAGAAAAATGAATGTTTGCTTCAGGAGATGAAAAAGAAAACAAAGTAGTAACAGCATGTGACAAATAAGTCCAAATTGTGTCAGGTTTGTACACACATTAACAACAACAACAAGAGCATAGAAATTGGAGTCAAATCTGAAGGTATTGCTTGCTTTGCTACATGTATTTACAGAAAAAAATTGAACATCTGTCCTAAACAAGGAGCCGGAGCATTCATTTGTGCATGCAAACTTTTAAAAAAAACTTATTAGCATCTTCATGTGAATGGAAGTTTATTCCTTAGGGTGGTGCTGCTGACTTCACCTTTTTTTTTTTTCAAGTGTTAAGTATACACAAATCGACAAGACAGACTTCAACGCTTGCTATTGTGTTTTCATATTTGACCTCTGTGAGATGTGGATTATGTGAATACATATTTGTGATACTCTGGATGATGGTAATGTCCTCTCTGAAGGTGACTGTGATCTACTGTGATATTACATACAAACAAGCTCTTTCAGGATTCCGAGGGTATGATGGAAATATAAGAAATTATTAAACCCAAACTTTCAATTATGGCCTTGCTAGTCTATGAAGACACAGTCTAATCTTCTTTGGTCTGAAGAAAGCCTAAGCGACATGCATACCAAATTTGTGTAATAGATATGAATCATCTCAAAGGTTATGGTTATAAATGCACCTGCAATCATTATCACTGAATAATACAAGAAATGTATATGAATAAATTTATTGTGTGTGAGTAAACATTTGTAAATGTGTCTAGTCTCCTAGTTTAGTTTCTTTGTACAGAACATGAGATGCTGACTCAAATGTTCTGGTATAAGCTTGGAATTTAAGAACCTCCCTTAATCTAGGAAGAGTTTTAAGTTCCAAATAATATGCAAATAAACCAACATGTCTGGATTCAAAGTTTATTTTTAAAATGCATGAATTTACTGCTTTATGACAGAAATTTTTAAATGGATAGGTATGAATACATTTTTACCTTTTTATTTTTCCTACTGAAAGATGTAAAGAAGGTTTTAGAAATTCCCTGCATTTAAAAAAGTTAGTATTCTAATTCCTTTTTTTAAAAAGGAGAAATGACTAGGTAAGAGAATAACTTTCCAACAGAGTTCCCCATATACCTTCACACAAATATTTTGGCATTCAAAGAGAAAGAGAAGTCTACCAGAAGGCTCATTTCAAGTTAGCGAGATTTGTAGCTAAAAGATACATTAGAAATATATCTCACATTATAGATACATAAAAGTCCCTCCTTTGACTCAACCCAAACCAGGTGCAGAAAGAAAACATTGGTTCCTCTGGGGAGGCATCTAAATTATTTAAATTCACAGGAAAGCCACATCCCAGCACAACATGCAGGGAAAATATCACCTCACTGACTTGACTCAAAACTTCTGGAAATTAGAAACACTACATTGTTTTGGGATCTTACCAGAAAACCTAGATGCAACCAATGGTTTGAAAGAAAAGGTCTTATCTTGGTAGGAAGGAGTCAGATGTCTCAAAGAAATTTTACAAAAATCTCTTTAGAAAAGAGCCAGTAATTCAGTGAACACCTAGGCTGCTGCAAGTGGCCACCATCAGTAAGTGCTGTAGACCGCCACCTGCCAAATCTGTATTTATTTGTTTGGCTGAAGTTTATGGCAATGGAGAGGCTAGATAGTGGCAATCCTGGCACTACAGCAATGGGAAAAGCAGTTTTTGCAGATAATCTATAAAACCCATAGAGCTCCAGCCTATGCCTTCATTAGCAAAGAAACTCCAGACCTGCCTCTCCTGGTATTCTTTTCTAAGTTCCACGTCCCAGCAGAGGCGTGGCAGTTGAAGCCGCACAGACCTTTTCCCCACAGAGCATTTTTGCATATTAAACAGCAGCTTACAAACAGTCAATGAGTCCTCTGCTCCCACGCCTGATCAGCACAAAACACTGAAAGGAGAGAGTCGAGACTGGCAGTTGTCCTCACTAGAGACATTCAATGATGTGTTTTCTGTCTATTCATTCACAGTATTGACATGAGCCATTAACATCTGCAGAACTTGTTTTAGCTGGCAAAAGTTTGGTATCTGGGAATTGATTGAAAAGGTCAATTTGTTTCCAAGATAGGTGAATTATATTAAAAATACATTTCCATAAAGTGCTCAAAGAAAAATAACTTAAATGAGATTTCCAGTAAAGTTTAGGACTTACTTCCTTTTTTTAAATTGAATTTATTGGGGTTACACTGGTTAATAAAATTACATAGGTTTAAGGTATATAATTCTATAATACACTGTATTGTGTAGTTCAACACCCCAAGTCAGGACTTACTTCCTGTTCGATATTGAAAGAATTTGGTCAGTGCTAAATATCTCATGAAGAGGCTTTAAATTAAAAACCAAGTGAAATTTAGGGCTAATCAAACACAATTCACGTAACTATGGATGAAACAGAAATTGCAGATTAGTTTTCCATTTGAGTTTAATATATTTTATTTTCCCCTATTAGTACATAAGTTTTACCCACTTCACTGCTGATTGTCAAGTGATCTAAAAAAAAAAAATAAAAAAATTTTAAAGCAGATTTCTTGCTACCAATGGCTTTAAACTCCTAGTATCTTCAAAAATATATGTAAGTAAACTATGTAAATTGATATTATTCTGAATGAGAAAAATATAATTAGAAAAGCTAGTAACTATAGAAGATACTGGCAATCATAAATAATTACTTTAGAAAAAAATCACAAATTTATATATACAATAACAATATAGTTTTTGGATCTCATAAGTGATTTTGGAGGTGTGTTTTGCTTCAAAACACAGACTACTTTAGACCAAATTAGCAGAAGTTCACAGATTATCCTGTTTGTTTCCAAGTATTTGCTTATTTTACCAAATGGGCTGTAACCTAAGTATAGATTTTTAGTAACCAATAAAGAAAACTGCCTGCACACTTGAAAACTAAGTTTCAGTTTTAGCAGCTAACTTATAATAAGAACTATGTTAAGTCAACATTTTAATAAGAAGAAAAGCATTCTTACAAAGGCATAAAGAACAGCTGAACCAAATACACAGCAGTTCCCAGCTAACCTGCCAATAGGGTCAGTGTGAAATCGAGATTTCTGTTTTGTTGACAGTGTTACTTCTCTGGTATAAAGCA